GTAGTGTGTCTTTCTGGGGTAAATAAAAAAGGACTCAACTGAAAAGCTGGAAGTTTCATAAGATATATTTAAACTTTGAAGGCTTTGCAGCATGAGTTTCTAATTTCTGATATTGGAGAAAGCTTTTCATTATTGTTATCAAAGTAGATCTTGGAGTTGATTTATATGTAGTTTTGATGTTGTTTTAATGTTGGTTGAAGTTGTTTCCTAAGATGTGTCTACAAAGGCAAGTGTCTTAGCTATACTTGTGTGATGTTATCTTAGAAAGCACAGAGGGTTGTTTTTTTTTTTTTTTTTTTTTTTGAAAGGTGAGCAACATTTCCCAAAGTTATTGGACTTGAAAGCACAGTTGAAGTAAATATTTTTAATTTTAATTTGTCTGTCACCAGTAAGTTGTTTCTAGTAAGTAATGACCAAAAACTGATGACATTTGACAATTTCTGCATGGAGGCATTGGTTGTTGTAGAATATTGGGTAGTTTAAAGCAAAAGAGGCAGTGAATCTGCCAGCCCATGGTAACCTGCTGTATTTTTTTGCAGCGGTTTCAGAGAAAGCAGTTCTGATAGGAATGCACAGAAACAAACAAACTCAATGGCTGATTTGAATCCTTATAATACATTTCTTAGTTTCTTGTTTTTAAGGTAAAACCTAAATTTCTTTTCAAATAAGCAAGCTAGGCGTTCTCATCTAGTAAAAACATTATTATTGAGAAAGCACATATGTAAAATGGCCACCTTCTCAAAGACTAAGAAATAGTAAGTCAAATAAGAAAAAAGAAAAGAAAATTCTGATGATAGGGAAAATTTTAAGAACATTTTGCAAGATGGTATTACTGGCATTTGCAAAAGCTTTTGTGCGCCACTTAAAGCTGTCCTGCAAGGGAGATGAAAGCAAAAGTAAACTGAGTTTAAGCAATTCAGTGGCAAGAGTTTGTTAGTAATTACTGTAAATTTTATAAGTAAAATTAAAATAAGTGAGTAATAAATCTGTGGCCAGTTGTTTGGATGCAAACCATGCACAACGAAAGTGAGTGGAAGCTTATAATTGATTTAAATAGTAAAGGACGTGGTTTATACAGATGAGTTTTTAAAAAAACTCATTGGGAACAAAAGTGATCTGAAAAATGGCATGAGTTCCTGGCTAAGTTTGGGTAACAATTAAGAAAACAGAGTATCCTGTTGTTTTTTCTGTGCAGTATTTTGGGTGAAGAGGAATGGTGATAAATTAATTTCAGTTCCAACAGGAACTAGGGAGAATGTTTTAAATGTTATTAAATATGTAGAACAGTGCTACTGGAGTTTTCTTTCAAACTCCAAATCATGGGTATACAGCAGTATTCTTCACACTTAAACATTTGGAAGGCTCGAAAGGACTGTGTTTAATAATGTTTTTGGGGGAGGAGGGAGAAAAAAGATGTATAGTTGCTGATGAAGTTGATAGTTGCCCAAGAATAATGTAGCCAGTGATTTGAATAGGAAGTCTACGAGCAATTGTTATGGCTTAGATGGAGTCAATGAAAAATGTGTATTTTAATGTCTTAAATATCATAACTCCTTACAAATGCTTGCTTCTCTTATCAGCTATATGTACAGTTTGCATGGGTGTCTCTTTAGGTTGTTTTTCTATACCTGCAGACAAAGTAGGCAGTTGTCATCCATTGAGGAACAGTGCTCAACTCTGAACATGGCAATAGGTACCGTTTTCTGTTGGGATTCTGAGCTCTGTGCTCTGCCTGAAAGTCATTGTCTAAAAGAGAAGGAAGTGTCAGCAGAGGATGGGGGAGGCATTTTTTTCTCAGTGTGCTGTATAGTCAAGAGCCCTCTCAGTTGTGGAAAACATTTAAAGTATGCTTTATGAGCTACTATGCTAGTAGTTAATTCTTCCATCAGTGAGATAGAGGAGAGTTATCACACTTGTTTTGTTTGGCTGTAGATGTCCTTACTTCCATGCTTACTCTTTGTAGTGAAAGTGACTAGTCCTTTGATGCTTAGAAATAAGACAATGGTTGTTTGCTTCCTTTTTCGGTTTTGCTCTGCCATTATCTGGTCCTTATATGGGAAAACTGAATCTTTGTGACCTCCCTTAAGTTGACAAGTTTTGTGAAGGAGTCTACAGACCTTCTTGAGTTCTCCAATGATAGAGATTCCACAGCACCTTTAGGCAACAAGTTCTTAACCACCCTTGTTACAGAAAAGTGCATTCCTTATTCTTTCTTCATTGATTGCTGCTGAACTTCTGTCTCTTTTCGGTTCTTCCAGGTGAGCTGGTGAGCTGGGTGTTGCTTTTTGGCAATTCTGTATTTCTTCACTGGTGAAACTTTGGACAAAAGAATGTTTAAGCAGTTGTGTATGGAGTCTCTGAGTCCTAGTGGGAGGTGGTGCTGGAGTCAGGCTTCTTTTAAAGATGTAGGTGTTTGAGGCTGGTAACCTAAGGGTTCTGCAACCTCCCCTATGGTTAAATTGTTATTGGACAGGTTGTAATTTTTCAGCAAGGTCAGATCATCTGAGATCCAAAGGTACCAGATGGAAACCAATAGATAAGAACCCTCATCCTCAGTTCCCTGTGAACTTACTGATACCTTGTTCAAAAAATGTATTAGTGCTGTATAGATACTGGTTTTGTTATAATGACATATGAAAGTGTGCTATTGCCCACAGCTATCCTGGATGTGCACTCTGTATTTTGGAAATCAGAATATATTAAGCTTGTAGGTTTCTGGCTGTATTGTTTATTTTTTTTTTATAGTGATGGAGTATTTGTTCAGTTACTTCTGGAACTGGTTTCTCGTAGTGAAAACTCTTAACCTAAATTTCACTTGGCTTAATAAGTGTTATTTTTTTTAATGTCTCTTGTAAATTTTTTATATTTACATAGTAATTTTTCATTATACGTGAGTGTAACTGGAGTACAGGCGTAATTATGTTTGAAGTAAAAGCTTTTGCGTCTGAGTTACTAACTGAACAAGGGTTTTCTCAAAATGTCAGTGTCACTTTTCTACTGGTTTAATGACTTTGTTAGAGGAATAGTGTTTCTATTTGAGTTAATTTTTTGAGAGGAGATTTAAAATAAATATTCACCATTAACACTGTGTTGATGTTCATTTATCTGTCCTTAGTAAGATAACTGGCTTAGGGCAGTTTGCAAGTCTGAGAAAAGGCCTTATAAACACTTGTTGCTTGCAGGTATTTCAAGTAGAGGAGAGAATAAAAAAAGACTGATTTTTATAGGCTTTTCTCAGTCTGTTTGTTAATGATGATTTTAAAATGGTCTGTTGGAACTGTTTTTAAAAGTAGCTCAAGTTGTCAGTTTATACTTTCTTTTTTCTACTCTTTTATTACTCTTATGCTTTATCTTTGTGGAATAATTCTACAAACCATTTGCGAATAAAGTGATGAAGTAGCACAGACACTGTATTTAGTTGCAGATGAAATACTAGAATGATACGTGTTATGCTGACCATTGAGTATAAGAGTTGTGTGTGTGCTTTTCACTTTCTATATAAACTACAACTACCAATTCAGTAAATGAGGAGGGGACGCAAATTTGTTGGAAGCAGCTAGAAAAGATCTGTGCTTTAAAAAAAGAATAAGAGGCATGTATGAAAATCCAGATACTAAATACCATTCCAGAGTCTCAACAGTACTGCTTTTAAGTAAGTACAATTTTATGTTTAGCTCAGTTTAAGAGTCAAAGTACATTTGGGTAAAGAAATTAAGAAGCCTTAGATTCAGCAGAGTAGTTTCAAAGAGAAAATCCAAGATGAAAACAAAAAAGACTGCAGTGAGGCAGTGTGGTGTGGTTTGGTTTTTGTGTGGGGTGGTTTTTTTTGTGTGTGTTTTTTTTCCTTCCATTATAGGATGCATTTGCACAATGATAATTTACTTTACCTAATCTAATAATCTGCTAGATTATCTAATTATGTAAATCTGTAATTTTATGTCCTTAATATTTGCATACGAGTAAGCCTGGGTAGGAGGAAAGCACAATTATTTTTAAGGTGTACTGAAGGTGTTGTGATGAAAGACTTTAGTTTTTGTCTTGGAAGAACAGAATTAATGCTAAATAACTAGCCACACCAAATTCACTCTCAGATGAGGGGAGTGATTACTCTTGTAATTCTATTAATAGTATTAGTATGTTAATATTTTGAATTAGCTATATAGCAACTTCTGCTAAATTTACAGTTATAGCAAACTGTCCTCTACTGAAACAAACCTACAACTCTAAGGATCTTAAGTATTGAAAAAAGACCTAAAATTAATAGGTTTCTTTCTGAATTGCTGTTTCCCATTCCCCCCCATCCATCCAACCAAATGTCAGACAGTTGGGAATGTTTACTTCTTGAAATGTTGTTAACGCACAATATGGTAAGTAACTAAGCATTTATTGATGACCCCAGGTTAATGAGTTAGAACAGGACTTGATACGGGAGTTGATATTCCTATGAAAAAATGACTTGGACACACCTTTAAAGAACGAAAAGAGATTGGAAAGAGGGGATGTGTCTGTGTTGACATTTCTTTCTATAGAAAGAATACAGGAGTCTAGTCAAATTAGAATTACTTTATTTAAATAAAAAGTATACACAGAAACCATATATGATGGTGATGCTTGCATAAATACTAGTTTGTTTAGATGATATTTCCCTTTTACATAGCTTTTATGCAATGACTACGTTAATCCAAGAAATGTAAAGAAATAACCTGCTTTTCCATTTGTGTGTCACTGTTTGTCTAAATCATTAGTATTTGGATTTCATGGAGTGTTATTTGTATAAATTCTCCACTGAATAAACTTAGAAATGTATTGCAGCTTATCTAAATTTTGGATAATATAAAATGAAATGTGAACAAAATTAAATAACTTATGTCTATAATATTCTAAACAGTTAAAATAGTCCATGGAAAAAAGTGTTTTAAAAGACTCTTTGTGCTATAATTGAAATGTCCTTTAAGCTTCTAGAAAATGTTAAAATTAAATACAATTATAACTTTTTGTAGGTTGGGCTCATGTGGTTTGTGCTCTGTACATTCCCGAGGTGCAGTTTGCAAATGTTTCTACAATGGAACCTATCGTGTTGCAGTCTGTTCCTCATGATCGTTATAATAAGGTATAATTATGTGTCATTTTATCTATATCTAATGCATTTCTTTAAAAACTTGTGAGCTTTAATAATCTAAAACTATACTGCTTAGAATACACTTGACATAAAGTTAATAAATGTATGGAATAATGCTGTATGTTTTCTGCTATGGCTTTATGATAGATTCAAGAATTAAGAAAGCTATTAAATTAAGCTGTAAGGTTATCTACCATATCTCATTATTCTTTTACAGATTAGGGTCTGTTTTGCTAATTAAAAATATCGTGATCTTTTAATAATGGTTTATTTTGAAAGGAATGTGAAGTATTTCCCATAGGTTAAAATAATGATTGCGGCTTATTTGAAATGTTATTATTAATTACTACTAAGTCCTACTGCTGTATTGTTATGATGTTCATAAACGTTTCTTGCAGGAAGAAAAGCTATGCTAATATATTAAGGCAAAAGCTTGCTGACTTTTGCCTTTATAAACAGTATTCACTTTAGTGGGATTGTTTACTTGTGGAAGAACTGCTCCTAAATAAGGGTCAGCGTGAAGGAATGTTTTATAAAGATTGGTGAGAGCTTATTTACAAAAAAAAAAAAAAGCAAGGCAGTGTAAAAGTAACTTATTAATGTTCTATATTGATAATTATATTTTTCTACTTGTTTAACTTGTGCTACCTCTTCACCACTAGACTTAACTACCTTCTTCTTTGTATTTTTATATTCTCCCTTCTGTAAGCACCAAACTATCTGAATTTCTGAATACTTTTATTACGTATTTTTCTTGCGTTGTTCTTTTTACCTCCAGTTTCTTTCTTTTACTTTATTTTATGATGGTTTGTGGATGCTGGGGTAAAAGAGGAATAGCCTGTGTTCTAAAAGAAAGAGGGGAAAAAAAAAGACATATCACCTCTGGTACTCTTCCTACAAGGAAATGAGTCCTCTTTATGTTGTCTCTGTGACCCCCCTCAAGATTACATCTCTGATTTATATGCCTCCACCCACCCCCAGTTCTCCTATCCTTTTTTCTTTTTTTCATACTTTGGTATTTTCCTTGTCTGTTTCACATTCTCACAATTAATGTCAGTATGTATTGCCCATTTTTTTTACTGAAAAGCCAGGAGTCAAACTCTAGGTTCTTCTCGTGCTTTCTTACTATGTACTACCTGAGCTTCTCACTGTTGGCTTCCTTCTGCATTGGCAAGAACATGCAACAATGAGATTAAGTGCAGAACTAATAAAACTTTTGTGTTTGGACACAAAGCAGTACAGATTTGCTGTGGCAGATGAGTTTATTTTCTCTCTCTCCTCAATTCTGGGCCAACAGCACATCTGTTTTCTCATTTGTCCTTGAGTAGTAGTCATAATGTTTTTATTGGTAATGGTTCTTCCCTCGTGTACTTGAAAAATTTTGTAGAACATTTTGGATTTGGTTTTATCTTGCACCATTTCCACTGATGGTAATTGATATTGGATGAGTAAATCCTTGTAACTTAAAAAAATGTACTCTGCATCTTTTAACATTTCTTGTTCACAAAGTCCATTTTGATCTATGTCTTTAGTCTTAAATACCTTTTTGTTACAACTGTATTTGCTTCTTTCTTGGACAGTTTTGCTTCCAAATATGTGAGTTGTAGTTGTTTTTTACTGCTAAAATTCCTATTTGCATTTTATTGGCCTGTAGTTACCATGATTATTTTTTCTTGATTGGTAATTACTAGGGCTATACAGATCACGTGGATAAAGTTCCTGATGTTGTCTAGCTCTGTTTTCTGCATTTTTGGTGGGTGTTCTGATTTGTGCCTGTTTTCCATGTTAACAGTCAGCCTAAAACTACTTTCATACAGGCCACTACAGTATATTGTAAAGTATAGTGAGAATGATATGAGAAATTTCAAGGTTTGGGGTCAGACTTCTAGCCTGCAAATTTTTTTAATTTTTTTTTTTCCCTTGTCCTCTCTTTTTAGAGAACTTGGCTTTTGCTCTCTATTTGGTTCAGGGAGTTAGTGGTTGTGGATTTCAGGGGAATTCAAGAAGTGCTTGTAGAGTGGTTGCTGCAGCAAACCTCCTGAAACCAATCTAACTTCACTGCCAACAGCAGTCTAGTTGTAACAGCACAGGATTTAAGAAGGATTTAAGAGGCAATCACTAATAGGGAACTCTTCCCAAATTTTTTGATAAATGTGTAGCCAGTGCTGAGTTTGGTACTGCTGTGGCTAAACTATCACCCGTTCCCAAATGGGCTAGTTTTGAGCAATACCCCCAAAACAAATACAACTACTAATTCCTTTTCCAGGTAGCCTGCAATAATTTCACCTCCCACCCCCCTTGATATTCAATATAAATTATGTTTATTTAAATTATTTTATTTTTTTTTTAGATCAGAAACTTTGTAAAGCATTTAACTCTTGACTTCATCAATTTGGGATGAAATGGGAAAGAAAATCTGGTTTTTTTTGAGAAGTAGATACAACAAACAGTTCTCAAAACATTTGTTGCATGTTGTGAACAAATATAAACATGTAGTTAAGAAAAAAATGACTACAGTTGTTTCTCTTTTTAGAGAGGCTTAGTGGTAATTTTATTCTGTCTGTCAACTCAGGTTGGAATAGGATGGTTTTAAGAAAGATTTTATTTCTTGTGAAGACCAAAATAATTCTGTGTGTGCGGCTGGATACATATGGAATGCTAATGTATGGAATTGGGGGAAAATATAGGCCAATGAGAATTACCATAAGGGAGAATTTATACTATAGTCTTTAAAATAAAGACAAACATCATTGGACTTTTGCCAGGAGATAGTACTTAATTTGCACAGTTTTTTCTGTGCACTTGTTTCTTTGTTGGACACTGAAACATGCAATATTACAAAGGTAGTGCTAAATGCAAGAACCACAGCAGACACCAAAGCATAAGGCTTATCAACATGAAGACATTTGGCTGCTCCTTCCTTGAAGCTTACCTGCTTCTGGGATAAAAATGATCACATTACAGAATGAATCCACTGAATGACTTGATTAGTGGACTAACTAACAGGAAAGCTCTTCTTACAGAGTCACTTCCTAAAAGAGATGAACTAGTAGTTTCTCTGCTATTTAGTAGGTGTTTGTTACTCCTTGGATGGTTGTGAATGGATAATATATATTTATTTTATGTGAGCTTCATTTGTCTCTTTCAGGTTCATTTGAAAGTATGTGGTAATTGATTATAAGTACTGTGTTAAGGAATCTCTTATAAGAGCCGATTAAAAAATGGGTGTGTCTGGAGTTTCCTGATCTGCCTGGTAGTAAAGGCAGCTGTTAGACTTTTATTTCAGTACTTGCTGCAGCAATGAGAAATTTCTGTAGAACTCTTACGTTTGATTCTGTAAGCAGGGAATGAGTAAACTATTGCTCAAATTACTTTTTGTTTTATAAGGTTTTTTTTGCCTCATCTTCCCTTCTGTCTTCGCTTTTGCAAAGAAGATTTGTGTTTTGAATCTTTGAAGGAAAAATGCTGACAGAAACATACACATTTTGCAAAGCTGCCCTTATTTTGCAATTAAAAAAACTAAGATATTTGTTGTGTATTTTGAGTGAAATTTCCTTGCTGAGTCAAAAGCTTTGTGTAATTTTTTGCTTATTTTCCAGTGTGTTTGGGAGAAGTCTAAGTACTCTGATCCTTTAAGAGCTCTGAAGAGCACCACTGTCCTAGGTGGTAGGACACAGAGTTTTACATTTTCATATTCCAGAGGTCTTAGAAGAGGTGTAGCAACTGCATGGATTTGCAAATGCATGAAAGTCTTTGGTTTTCTGCTTTGTGAAAGCAAGATGAAGGTTCTCAGGCTTCTGGAATTGTTTGTGTGTCTAAGAGAAGGTAGAAGTATGAGGAGCTCAGCTTTAGAGAGCTCATCTTCCCATTCCAACCATCCATGTTGGAATGGGAAGATGAACCTTCTTTGGCCCCATTTCACGTGGAAGATTAGGAAACAGGTTTTATACTTCTCGTGGCTGTTGTAGGAAGGATAGACATTCGTTGAGCTTGTTAAAATGAGTAGGCAGTCCACCATGTTGTGTTTAAACTTGTATGTAATGTAGCTGGTCGTTTGTTATAGTTTTTCAGTCATTTAAATTGATTTAGGGGGTCCTGAAATACAGACCATAAGCGTAGTATGTAGTGTTGAAAAACTGTGCCTACACCCTTACTAAATGGAATGATTTTATTGCTTTTCTTTCTGAGCTTCAGTGAGGAAAAAAGTTACAGATCTTAAGGCAAAACTCTGGAAAAAAAAGAACAGTAACTGGAGCTTCAGTTGTATGCAGTCTGTTAACTATTTGTAGAGGTACCTTACTCTTGAGGTTACTTAGACTTAATGTAGTTATTCAGATGAGGTTGATAGATCATGACCTTGTTTGTTCCTAAAAACTAAATGTGTCAGGTCATCGCATGGAAAGCTAAAAAGCAGCCTGTCTCAGACCCTGTCAAACGACTGAGTTATCTGTATGCACTACCTTGATGTACAAAGGGAGCAAGGCAAAGAATTAAATAGGATTATCCCTTTTCTGATCCTTCAAATGTTAGGATATAGGGTATGATTTCAGGATATATTAGCTATTGGGTTTAATGCTTTTTAAAAGTCTTGGGGAAACTGTACAAGAATGACTTGCCTACCGTAGAGCGTTGCATGTTAACAAAAATGCTTTAGTTAGCTGACATCTCATGTTAAATTTTGTTCTAAATACCTCTGTAAAAAGCTGTTCTGATCTCAGAATTTCACTCGTTTTCATGTCTTTCTGAGTAATACTGGTTTTGCATTATATCGTTTTTATTTCAGTGCTGTCTTTGTCCATTTTTCTTAAACTGTATTTTCTACTACCCGTGACTGATGTTCTTTATATTTATTATTCTACTTATTCTCTGCCTCGCTGAAGGGAGGTTGTGATACAGTTGCAATAAGTCAGTTACAGTTTACATGTAGGCAGTTTTTTTTTTGGAGAAAAAAAAGTTTCTCCTTTCTCATATAAGATCTTGTAATGGGATTTCGACAGAGGTAGCAGTATGTCATTGATGTTTGTTGTCTCAGTAAGGTTCTCTCTCATTACAGACACTTGACTACCCAATTCTGGAGGATACTTTCATTAAGAATCTGTTCTTAAATTGTTAAATTTTATACATGAATGTGATCTGATAGAATTTCTCTAGATGGTATTTTGGTTATTAGGATGGAGAGAGATTTAGTTTGGCTAATGTTTCTTCCTGAAATGCTGATGAAAGATTGTAGTGATGTCTGGTATAATAGTGAGCTTCCATACAGCTTGTATCCATGTTTGTGCATGTCTTTTTTTTTTTTCCATTTTACTGATAATGTTTTTTGAAAATATTACAAATTGCCACAGTATCCTAGTAAAACAAATTAATTGAAAGAAACACTCTGAAAAATATTTTCAGGTACTAGACCAGTTGTTTTAATTTTAACTTGTTTTTGAGGTTGAAATGGGTTTAATGTACTAATTTAAGCTTTGTTTACAGAAGGTTCTTGCTTGATTAGTTTCTAAGATATTTATGGGCCTGTCCAAGTCATACTGAAATTAAAGCAGAGTTCTGTTAAACACAGTATTTAATTAAAGGCAACTGAGCATAATGTGAATATTGAAGACCTCTGAAAATTCTTTACGCTAAATGTACAAATGAAATTAAGTTTGCAGGTTTTCTATATGTGATTTTGTAGAGGTATGCATGTATACTGTGTGGTATCTTGTACCATTAGGTGTTCAGTCTTATTTGATGTTTCTGAATGCTACCAATATAGGTGACCTTAAATGAATGTGAAAATGATTGCAACCTAAAAGGACATAAACACAAACTTGAAAGCAAGGAAAATCTGGAAGCCTAATGCTATTAAGCTTTGGCTGTTTAACTGTTTGGTTAGTTGAATAGTAGTATAGACATAATTAGACTTTTATAAAGAAGTTCTTATGTAAGCTTAGCTGCAAAATGTAGTCGTTCTCACCCTAGAATCTCCTGTGAGTAACACAGAATTTATTTGCATGCTTCGTATCATGTTAAGTATTTTCTTTTCGACAGACATGCTATATTTGTGATGAACAAGGCAGAGAAAGTAAAGCAGCCACTGGTGCTTGTATGACGTGTAATAAACATGGATGTCGACAAGCTTTTCATGTAACATGGTAAGTATATTTTATTATTTAACATCTCTGATGTTCCAAAAGGAATCAATGAACACAGTGTAACGAATAAACTCTGTAGTATATTTCTGAGTAAAGAAATATAGTAAAGTGGTTTGTGTAGAAATATCTAACTTTATTATGATAGAGTTTACTAACAATATAGCAGTGGCAGCATAGACATTGCTGTGAGCTGCAAAAGCTGTCTGATAATACTCCCTTGGGTTGTATTAAATGCTGTGTGTTCCTGTGAATAAGGTTTAGTTGTTTTTTTTTTTTTGTGTTACATTATTTTTCTTAGGTTGTATTTTATAGGATATGAGAATATGAAGACATTGTTTGTTTACCTGGTAACTGATTTTATGTTTTTGATAAATTAGTGGGAAAAATTACTGAGCTATACATAAAAATACACTAGACTCATGCCTTCTGGTACAGATTTCCAAATATTTGGGCATAATTTACCTCACTGGTTTTATCTAGATGATACATATCTATCCTGAACTATTAGTTTAGGTTTCATGTATAGCTGTTGGAGAAAAAACAGCTGTGTCCACCGTTTGATTCTTTCCACTTTAAGATATTTAGGTTTGCTTCCATTCAGGAGATTCTTGTCTCAGTTTATGGACTTCTAAAAGAGGCTGGATAATTACATTAAACCACATGTTAACAGGTAAAAGGGGGCAAAAGGAGCTCCACCCCAAAATTTACAGGCATTATTTGTGTTTTCAAATTCAGCTGAAGCTATTTCACAGTATATAGATAGCAGATTTACACCGACTGCTACATAATCTGTGGATTTACTTATCTATTTGTGAGTGTCCCAGTATGCTTCTTCGTGACCAGCTCAGTCAGGGAAATGGTATTTATGCACACAGTTAAACTACTTCAATGTATTTTCTTCAGTGTAATCAAGTGATGCGTTGAATGCCTTGTGCAGATCTTAAAGGATATAATTCTGTAGTTTAGGTGCTGATCTCTTGGCTACCGTATTTTTTTGTTTCTTTTAATCACTTGACTATCTGTCAGGTTTTACTCCTTCATAAGCATCTAATTTTTCTTTGTATGTGATCAATGTCAAGTTTCTTTTTATGGTGAAAATGGATTGTGTTCCTCAAAGTGTGCATACCATGTAAAGAGGTTACTTACAGATGTGAAAAAATATGTACGTCCAAGTGTTTGGATGAAAAGGTCTGTTTTCTTTTAAAGAGTTAGATGCATACGAGAGTCCTTTTCGTCTTTCTTCTTTCTTCCAAAACCCTGTTTTCAGTGATTGCCATAAAGACTATGAGAATTAGGTTCAAAATTAAAATATTTGTCTTGACAATTTTTAGAATTTGTTTGTTTTAAAAACCCCACATATGTACTATAAAATGGTATCTAGCCAGAGAGTACTGTGACTGAGGATATTGAGAAGCTTCTGTAATATTTAAAAAATGAAAGAAAAATGTGAAAACTACAGAAGGCAGAGATCCATGTGAGGTCTATAAATTTTGAATTAACAAAACTAATCTGTAAGGAAGAATGAGCTTGAGTCCATCTGTTTTGGTATGGCAAGCTTAGAATGATAAATCTTCACTTAAAAAGATCCTGTTAAATGTTTTCTGTAGTTGGCATCTTCTGTAGGTGTACACGTATTTAGGAAGCAGTATTTCTGGATTACCCAAGAACAATGTATTAACGAGGGGACAGTGATTTTAAAAAGCAATGAAAATAAACCACCTTATGTATTGTTCTTACATTTAAATACTCTGCATAATTTTGACTGTAACATGACATTATTATGCTAATGAAAATGATATGGAAAATGAAGCTGAATGTTTGGTTTCTCAATGTCTAAGTTGGTTTTGATTAAGAAAATAAATCAACATGACCAATGGGGAAAAACAAATTTGATTTGAAAAAATGTAGTAGAATATAGTAATAATCATCCTGGGTTAGGAAACTTTTTTAAAAAGAAAATTTATTTTTAAAAGAAATTAACCTGACACAGTCTTTTAAACCAATAAATATGGTTTGATTTATTATGTCATTGAAGTTCTATTAAGAAATAAAAGTAATTTTCTTGGCAAAGCAGGGAAGGATGTATGCGACTTTAGAAAATTTTCTTCTTTGGATGTGCAGTATGGTTTTGTTAAAAACTGTTTTTACTGTTCTTAGATAATTTTTGGCTTGAATTTGAGATAAAAATCATTTTAGATTGCTTAGTTTATTTATTTGTGGGAGTAGCTGCCTAATAAATATAGATTTTCAAGCTATAAGCTTGTGTGAGTGTCTTAAAGACTATGGAAAAGGCATCAGGCCGCAGTAGAAACCATACATGTTTTCCACTGGGCTACAAAGACTGATTATGTGCTCACATGCCATGAGAAGTCACATGAATGGAAATCTTTTCTATTAAATGCAGATATGAGTATCTGTACCTTATCAACTGTGATATTGTGGTACAACTTGATGTAAAATTGCTTTTCTTGAATGTTGTTTGGTTTATTTTTAGTGCACAGTTTGCAGGACTTCTTTGTGAAGAAGAAGGCAATGGTGCAGATAACGTCCAATACTGTGGCTACTGTAAATACCATTTTAGTAAACTGGTATGTATTTGTTAAATTCTATAAATAAATGTTGCTGACTTTTTTTTCCACTCTGAATTGTTATTAACACTAGAAATAATGTTTTCGTGTAGCTCAGAAAGTAGATAGTATTTCATTAAAACAATGTTTTAATCACAGTTATAGAAAGACTAGCTGAAATTCTTTTTAGAAATGGTTACTTTCTAGATGTGTGGGTTTTTCCCCTCTGCCAGAAATAGCATGCACATTTAGTGATTTTTTTTATTTTTTTTTTTTTAGTTCCTGTAATGTTTTCTTTAGCTATTTGATTAGTTGGCTTCTAGGAATTCAGTTCATTTGGAATAATCTAGAAAATATTACTTGTTACCCTGTGTATTTGAGAATAAAGAAGTCCTCCATTTCTTTCTGCTTCTGTTACTTTTGTTTTTAAGTGTTTTTCCTTTTGTTCTATTTCTCACTGTGTAGCCAGTGGATACTCCCTACCTATAAGTTCTCTGAAACACAGCCTCAAGGAAGTGAATTGTGGCTTGATTTTTAAAAAACAAACAAGCAAACAAAAACCTTCTAAATTTCTCAGTTATTTCACTAGGTCAGACCTCTGGAGTCTTTCCTGTCACTCATTATCAGTTTGACAGTTCCAGATACCTGTGTCTATGTATGTGTGTGAGCGTGTGGACTTGAAGGCTTTAACTGATGTTTAAAAAAATGTTATTTATGAATATTGAACTAAAATGTATAGACTTCAGATGGTGCTGTAAGTATAGTTAAACTTGCTGATTCCTTGTTCTCACTGCTAAAAAAGGTGAATACTTGGGTGACTTTTGAATAGGTTGCAATGAGGTACAAATGCAGGGCTAATGAACCATTTTAGCTTTCTAGAAAAGATTGGTGACATTAGCTCTGTGTTCTTGTGAATACTGATGAGTTTACTTCATAGTGAAGATGAGTCAGGGCTTTCTAGGCCCTTACTAAGCTATTTTTTTTTAAATTATCTTGAGCTAAGTATGCAAAAAGAACAAGAATGATCTGTTACTTAGCAGTGAAGGCAAGCTCTTACTATTATGCATTCAGTTTGAATGTTTCAGTGCTGCTATGATTGAGAACATGTATGTTTATTTAAAAAGCAAGTTCAAGGATAAAGACATAACTCCATATTTGACATTTAACTAGTTAGCTTTCCATTACTAAACTATAGTGGTAAGAACAGTAAAGACTGGCAAGATGATGTGTTTAGTGTTTCTTTAGGATTGTCGTGACTGTTGATGCCTGCTAAATAGAGGTGTTTAGTATTTACTACTGAACATGGTGGGTGGTGTGTATCTACTATACCACTGGAAACTTTGGTTGGCAAAGCACTGACCTGAAGTGTCTTTATAGTGCTACCTCAGTTATGATAAAGTAACAAATATTTTGAACACTGGCCTAGCGTAAAGTATTTGCAGTCCCAGACTAGGCTCTCAGACATTACAGAAATACAGGCAATGTCTGCTGCTTGTAGATGCATACATGACCATAGCATGTCATATCCTGTTTTCTAAACAATTTTGAGGAAAATACTGCAGATATGTCACTTGAATAATTAATCATGAAGCTATAAAGCAGCCACCTCACAATGCCTTTCAAGCATGTGGCAGTGTTGGCACTGTGGCTTCATGTGGTACTCATTTGAGCAATATCTTTTCTGTTTTATGTTATGAAAACTTGAAAACTATTAAAATTTTTAAAACTTTAAAAAGTGGTGTGTCTCTTTTCTTTTTGGAAAGCATATCTTGCAAATTCATGGGAGGTGTAAAAGTTGATATAAGGATAGGCTCTTTTCCTGGTATATGTTGGGTAGTCTTGTTAGTTTTATTAGTGTTAGTAATTTGTCAGTTTTCCAGTAACTGAAAGTTTTTTTTTCTTCAGTAAGACATCTTATCAGTTGAAATGCTTTATACTTTTTATTTATTCAAATGATTCCTTTTCTCTATCCATAAATATGTTTTCTCTTTTTAGAAAAAGAGCAAACGGGGATCTAATAGGTCATATGATCAAAGTTTAAGTGATTCTTCCTCTCACTCTCAGGATAAACATCATGAGAAGGAGAAAAAAGTAAGTGGATTTGTCGTTGCTAATTATTTGGCATATCTGCTTAATAGTATCACTTTCTGATAAATTTAATTTTTGCTGGAAAAGCATGAAGGAAATCTTGTTCCTGAAGCACTGAATAATAAATAAGACAGGTGATAAACTAGAGGTACTGGGGTCCAATGAGGAAGCTTCCATGAAGCTTCCCTTGCCTTAGTTTTCTGTTGGAATTTTTTTTGTGTAGCCTTTGTGACTCTGTGGGAAATTAAAACAGGGCTAGATATTTTAGCAAGTGTGCTGATAAACAGGTGCATCTAATTTTTAGTGTTTCAACCTGTTATCTTTTTCTCCTCATCAAAGAATTGACATCTCTTTTTGACACATCTGACTGGTACTGGTGGTAAAGCCCACTGTGATGGCAAAATACCTTGTCATTTACCTGGGACTCTTCCTGTGAGGGTACAAAGAACATAACTGACTGCTAATTTCTATCATTGGTGTATTATTTTAACAATTCAACTTTACATATTTTTAAAAAGAATTTTAAATTTATAATGATGATTACTTTACATTTTTATTACTGCTAGATTAATAGTCTGTGGGAAATTTGTCATCTGAATTCAACACAGGTTGGCAGCTCAGCGACACAGTAATGCAAATTTGCTTTGGTTGTTTTTGTAGCCCCCTAAGAATACATGCAAAACTGTTCACCTGCACGCATGCTGTACAACTAACTTAACAGAATTTTCTGTGGGTTTGGGTAGACTTAACTTTGCGTTGCTCAAAATCAAAATCAAAGAATGTATTGAACAAATGTGTATTGTATGAAGGAGCTATATTTATAGTGACAGGAAACTGAATAACAAATGTAGTTCTTCAGACCCTTAGTCTCCCTAGTACTTGATTGGGTTTTTAAGCTCACTTCCACTTTAGGTAGATGTTGATCTCCATTGTTCTTGTATAATCTTCTGTAGTCTTTATATGCGTGTAGGTGAATAGTTCTGTCTTCATCTGGTAATGCAGAAAAGAGAGTGCATTGTGATGTGTTTGTACATCTAAATCTAAATTTATGAATAAAATAACAAAAGTAGGGGGTTTGGGCACATCTTTTTTTCTTAGTAACATATTGCTAGAAAAAACCAATATTGAGTTACAGACTATAGAATGACCTGCAAGGTAAAACCTTACCAATAGGTGCCATATTTTTTTCTTAGGTTGCTTAGTTTTTCAGTGCTATCATATTTCAGGTCATGTTTTGTCAAAATACATGCATGGATGTTTACTCACATGGACAAAATATTGAATTTGAAGAAACTTTGAGGTGTGAGCGTGTGGCTAAATTTCGGTTTTGTCTGAGCAGTGCGAAAAAGCTGTTGTTTTTTGGTTTGGTGTGTTGTGGGTAGTTTTTTTTTTTAAAGTGACTATGGAGATACTATGCCGCTTCAGGTCGTAATATCTATAAAATCTTCAGGGAATACTTGGACTTTCTAACAGAGCATGTTCAGCCAATGTATCAGCTATTTTTTCTGCTAACTGCTCAGCTTCTCCTGCTCTGGAAGTGTTTTGATGTGCATCTTCCAGAAAGAGTTAATGTTGTGGCTTACCTTTGCAAGTCGTGGCCTTTTTCTGTGGCTTGAAGTTTGCAAGAAATAGGATATTAAAGTTTTTTTTCCTACCTTTTATGAACTGAAACATGATAATTGAGGTGATCTCACAATCTGTAATACCAAGTGAAGCAATGCAGTTTGAAGCACTGATCTGTTGACATTCACAGGTTCTCATATCATGTTATAGTGTGTTCACTTATCAAGTTTAATTTGCTTTATATGTTATGTAATAACAAAACATTATTCTAGTTAAAACCATTAAGTGGTGAAAAAAGTTGCAGTTTCCTAAAGCTGTTAATCGCCTAACTTCTTGTGGCTACAGATTTTTTGTTTGGTGTTTTAAATCTTATGTATTCTATAGTTAAAAAATGACCCATGCTTTGCAGAACACTAATCTTCAGTTAATGAACCCGTATGTGGTGTGGAGGCTCATTCTCTTGCTAAATCTGATTACCTTCAGCATGTGATATATTATTTGATACAATATATCAAATATACAGTGTATCTTGAGGAGGAGGGTAATTTTTTAGGGTGACCTCTTTAAGGTTTCCTCTTCTGTAAGTCTGTTTGGAATCTAAATCATTGTTGTATTACAGTAAGTATGCATATGTCTCTTCCCAAATACAGTCGTGTCTCGCCCCCTCCCCTCTCAGTAAGGGCACTCTAGTTTCTACTCTATCTTTCCTCTTTGTTCTTTGGAAATTTTGATGATCTGATCTTCAGGCATCCTTAAAGCTTTTCCTTTGGTCAAGCAGAAGCCATGTGAGTTGAGGATTGGAACCCTTTTTATTGTTAAGACCTCAAAAGCTATCTATTTGCATATAAAGTATTATTCTACAATAAGAAGAGGTTGGTCTGAAAATGTTGTTATGGGTAGCTCTCATTTTTGTAAACAGACACTGAGTTGAAAGCATGTGTTTTCCTTCATAATATGTATTTAGTATCTTCTGGGCACTGTGCATTCAAAATCAATAGCAAATGGATAAGGGTATAATAATATTAAAAAACCCAGAAACAAACCTTTGGTATGATTTAATTTAACTGAGGAATTTGAAGGTGCAGAATAAATAGCTTAGTTATATTCTGATTACTGCTGCACTAAGTACAGTTAGTTTGTATGGCAGAGATGCTATTTAGAAATGATTAGAGATGAGGCTGGGTGCCTCCTAATAGGGTTGGTAGTATGTTGCTTGACGTCCTGTTATAATATCAGTTTTTTCAGGGACCAGGTGTTTACCTCAAGCTTTTTTGGGAAAAAGCTTAGGCCACCATGAGGCTATGGAAGAATACCTTGCTTTCCTGGCAGCTTTATCTTTGGAAGGGACTAAAGAAGAAACTGAATTGTCTTGGATTGACCTTTGTGTAAAGGAAGTGTTTCATGCCACTTCTGTGAAAATTAGGCAAGCGTGCTAGCATTACATGTTTATGACTAATGAAAAATGTGAATTTACTAGATAGTAAGTAAGTAATATATAGCAGCTGAGTTGCACAAATTCCTTTTCTACTGGAAGTGCTTTGGTCTGGGCTGAGCAGGAAGGGGACATTTGAAACTCTTAGCTATAATGGCTCATATGCAAAATAAACAAAAATGGGCTTGTAACTGAAGTCTGCAAATGTGTAAGTAGTGGTAACTGAAGAGGCAAAAGGAATAAAATAGTGACGAGGAGCCCCAGGGCACTAGCACAGAAGCTGGAGGGTGTTGGTCTGAGGAGAACCTAAAATGCAGGAGCCCAGGACAAGTGTTTTAAACACTGAGCTACTGGCTAAAGGGAATTAATAATGGACATCTTCTTGCTGCCTGTCTTGTTCTTAAAGAATGTTACACCTTCTCTGATTTTGAGAGGAGAAACTTGAACATCTGAGTAGAGTTTGAGGCAGTGTGTGACATTGAGTGTGTTCCACTGTAGCCATGAGTTTGGTTGTTAGGCCTATGGGAAGGCAAAATTTAAAACACACCTCTACTCATTGTAAGTTTCCATAGGCTCTGTGTTGGTTTGTGAACTGTGTCCTGAACTGCCCAGACTTTTCCAATATGTTGTGAAGGAGCGTACTTTCGTATGTCAGGGCTATGACTTTCATTTGGGAGAAAGGCTCTTGATGCTTTTAAAGATATTTTAATGCTCTGTTTGGGCTGTTACAAATCAAGTCCCCTAAACACTAAGATCAGGTGTTCATTTATGTATTCCTCACTCCCTGAATGAGTGACTGAAAAGCTAAAATTGACCTGCTATGCATCACGTAAGATTCTGTGGCAAAAATAAGAATAGATTGTAGTTCTTTGGGTTACCATTCATCTGTATAAGCAATGGTTTCCTTTTTTCTCTTTCAAAAAAATAATATTCTGATTTAGTCTTGAAGAGTCAATTTATAGTACTCTATAAAGCGGACTGTTGCAAAGGCAGTTCTAATTATGGCATCCCTGTGTTAATTGCCTCATTTCATAAACTTAATGATGTTATTTGAGCATTAGGGTTTTTGTGTCACTTTTTAGGGAAAAAAAACTCCAGACTCATCTCAGTAATGCAGTATCCCACTGCATTTTTGTTAATTCTTTAAGTTTTTGTTGATCAGTTTAAAAGATTTGACTGTTCAGTAGTCTCAACTGTTCCTGATGTATGAAGCAAAATTGTAAGAATGCTAAAGATAGCTAGAAGGAAAGTGTTTTACAACCACTTTGAAATTGCTTCAAAGTAATGGTAGATAAATTTATTCAAATGAGAATTGTGTGGTATGGATGCTAATGGTGATGCTTATCCGTGTTGACTTCCAAATTCTAACCAGTCAGCGGGAAAGAAGAATGCCTCTGAAATCCCTCTAAAAACTGGTCAGTAAGTATATATCATATGTAGCTCAGTGTATATGTGGTCTTTAATATCTGTCTATGAGCTGCAGAACCTGATTCCTGTTTCCTAAGACTGAGTTTTTGGGTGTGTTCCCTGGTGTTCAAAAAGGTGTGACTTCATGTTACAGCCTCTCACTGTTGGTGCCAACAAATAGTATTTCTGTTTCTCGGCACCTGTTCTTTACTGACTTTGTAGGAGTGTAATTTTTTTCTTTTTTAGCGTATCTCTTCGTCCTGGTTTCAGCTGAGACAGAGTTAACTTTCTTCATAGTACCTAGTGTGAGGCTATGTTTTTGATTTGTGCTAAGAAGAAAGCTGATAACATAATGCTGTTTATAGTTGCTGCCAGGACAGTCAAGGACTTTTCAGCTTCTCTGCTGTGCCAGTGTCTGCAGGTACAGGAGGAGCTGGGAGGGAGCATAGCCCCAGTTACTAGCCTAGGATTCAAACTGAGGTTTAGGATTGAGACCCAAACTGGCCAGTAGTCTATTCCATATCATGCATGTCATGCCCAGTGTATAGATAAGGGTTTGTTCAGAAGTTGGTCCTTCTTGCTCTGGGTTGTCTCCCTCCGG